TGGAGATGAAAGATCTCTTGGTCCCGGGTCTCAGTCCTGCGGCCCCGCCTGGCAGGTCTCTGCTTTGCACCGGAAAGTTTGGCGAGCGACCGCCGCCTGCTGCTTCCCGGGACAAGAAGCCCCCTCCTACCTTGGTCTCTGGTTGGGGCTGGGCTCTTTTCAGGAACCGCTTTGCTCTCTGTCCCAGGCAGCTTCCTGGTGGTTCCTTCCTCATCATCGGAGAGAAGTCCCGCCAACGGGTCTTCCGAGTCTCGGGGAGGAAAGCACAGGTCAGACCGCGGCTGCGTCAGGGAGACAAGCCCTGTGCAGAGCTGGGGGCTGCGCCGGGCGTCCTCCTCCTCGCTGCCCCTCGGCCTCTGGCCACAGCCCAGGCTCCTCCCAGGAGGGAACGGACAGTGGCCCTGGGCCTGTGGTCCAGCGTGGCTGTGTCAGGCCGGCCGGGACCCCAGACCCTGCCACCGGCACAGCCTTCTGGGACCATCCCCGGCATCGGAAGAGAAGTCAAACATCTGTGCACCCACGAAGGGAAAGAACGTCTACACTTTATAAAATCTCCAGCGTGGTGTCTGGCTCCAAATTTCTTGCAAAAAAGTTCCCCAAATATCCGGGTGAATCCACAGTAGTCCCGCCCTGGACTCATGAGGAATTAAATCAGCGGCCCCAGCCCTCTGCTCCTTGTCTGACACACAGCGACTGGGCTGCGGGCAAGTTTGCGTCGCCATGGCTACTCCCTCCCCACACCGAGTGTCCCAGAGCGTGGCTGGAAGGCCTGTGGTACCTTCGAAAGAAAACTTCTTGTATTGATGCCCAAAGCTGCTGGGAGAGGGGGCGGGCTTCTTGGTGGGAATGGCATCCCCTGCAGAGAGAAGGCAAGGTCATGGCCAGGGCCTGGCTGGGGCGGCGTGCACTTCTCCCAGGTGGAGCTCAGGGGCTGGCCGTGGACTCAGCCATGGGCGGTGTCTGCACCTCCCTGTTCTCACACAGGCTTCTGGCAGGAAACATGGTCTGAAGCTCTCTGCCCAGGCACCAGGCACCAGGCACTCCAGGGACACGGGTCTGGGAGCGGCCCGGGCTACCACAAAGCTCTCCAATGACCTCAGGTGGCTGCTCCAGGAGCTGCCACTGGGCACAGAGGGACGGGGACAGCCCTCGGAGGAAGCTCGCCTCGTCCCCCTCCCGCCATGAACACTCACACACACAGGCAGAGCGAGCCCCCGGGGCAGGAGAGCTCCCTTCCCAGCATCTTCCAGTCGCCAAAGCCTCGGGTCTGAGGCTGTGTCCTCCTCACCTTTCTCATGGGCGGTGAGCGGAGCGGCGGGCTGGGGGCTGCTCGGCAGCTCTTCTTTCCCAGAACCCTTGGTGGCGCCTTTGTGAGGGGCTCGAGGAGACGTCTTCAGACCCAAGAGGTCAGCATCCATCTCGTCCAGATCCTGGAAAAGGCGGGGGGGCCCCACGGTGCTCAGCTGTGGCTAATCCTCCAAGCCCCCAACCCTGAGGTTCAAGTCTTCAGAACCGATGTCTTCAATTCCAGGGTCCAGGTCAGCTTGGGTCCTGACTGACCAGAGGAAGCTGGACTGGAGGGGACTCGGCAGGGGGTGGGGGGATGTGGAGAGAGGCTGAGAACAAGCTCCAGAGGAGATCGTCTTGGTCTCCGTCTT